CCCTAGTAGTATGCTCCGCATCAAACATTTCAGGTTTTTCTTCATTTTGGAATATCATGACAATTAATTATATAGGCCAATTTGGAAGTACTTTGGGACAACAATATTAACAATACTTAATAGACACGAAATAAGTGCATTTGAAGGAACGCACCCCCCCCCCCCCCACCTTTAGTTATTTTTTCTTAAACACGTATTTTAATATCTCCACTTTAAATAGTTTCATTAGAATATCGTGTCAACCTTATTGCGTTTGCTTGAACTACCTTCAAGCTTTGCACCCCTCTTTCGCAGCTACTCTGTTCCTGCTTATAAAGTTCAAAACCTAATCAATTATAAGACTAGCAATGTGGATGGGCGATTCTCTCTCAATTCCTTTAGCATCTTCGATCCTGAGTTGTTGCTATTCAGTAAAGTCTACCTTTCATTCTATTCCCTTTTACTGGATCCTTAAAAAAATGGGAATTCTTGCAGTTAGCAATAAGCTTATTATGATAACAGGCTCAAATAATTTCAATCTACTTGCAAAATGTTACCATGTTGTGGAATGAACTCGGCCTGCTTTCAGCCACTTAATTGAAATTCAGTGAATGATTCCAAATTTCGAAATACCTTCTCCCAACGCCTCTTAATGCGATATTTTATTGTAACGGCATTTAGATATTTCATTTTAATACTCCACAAGCCCGACGTTTGTTAATATTTAATACTGAACGCCTTTTGCATCGGAACTGACATTGGTCAAGGCGACTAACGTTTCTTAATCTCTTTGGTAGATAAAAATCTATATCATTCTCTCTTTGACTTACACTTGCGAAAAATAGGTATTTATGGTCATACATAAATTAATTTAAAATGCGCTCCAGTCCCCATCGTAATCGGCACCCAGAATGGAAATCCTCATATACCAGGAATGGACTAGGTCCCACCAGTAGGAATTTTTCCATTATTATTACATAGTATGAATTAGCATTGAATACAATCACATCCCTATTATTTTAATTGTCCAGCTAGAGAGCCAATAAATATACTTTCACGATGAATAAAAAGAAAACTATGTGAAAATCACAGACCTACCTTACTTCTTTAAAATGAAATTATTGATTAGAATGTGCTTAGGAATATCGCAGCAACAGCTAAGTACAGTATTATATTTAATCCTCGAGACTAAAGAGATGGCAACCATTGTACAAATTCATGATCTTTGTTAAATTCTTTCCTTCAAGATGGCTTCTGCCGCCAATCATTTTTTAACTGCATTCTCCATTGTACTTTGTCGCATGAAAAAGACTTAATCTAAAATAGGAGTTCCCTTTTGATTTTAATCCTAACTTTCGATGATATAATAGAGTAACATGGCCCACTCCGCGAATGAATAGTTTTACTCAGAGCTTCGTGTATATTTAGAATGGAAGTGAGGTGTAAACTTGTTTAATTTTAAGTAATAAATATCGATTATTTTGGCAAGTGTAAAAATGCTCACATTACTTCCTGACGTATTTAGGACAGACGTGGGAAAATCCAAAAACTGAGGTGGGGCGGAGTAGAGATGATTTAAGAGAAGAGAAAATGGGATTTTCAGGTGAGAACATTTTTATTTTCATCATAAAATCGTTCCGCTATATGGAAAATCAGCAGTACTTCAATCTAATCAGACAGAGTTGCGTCATTTTAGACATAGCCTATTACATATTTTCATGGCACCTTAATAACATGAACATATTTGTTAATTACTAACCTACTACGATCGTGAGTGGAATCTCATTATTGAGGTACTATTAGCAAATTAGCTGCACAACCTTTCACCAACCTCCCAGAGTTGCAAAAAAAGTACGTTATATTTTGATTTGAAGGGTTTTAGCCCTCCGTCTCTTATTCTACTGAGTTAAAGTCGCGCATTAGCTAAATATTTATTTAGTAAATATTGCGCTGCCAAAATTGAGGGGAAAATAATCCCCCTTTTTTTGGGGGGGGGAGGTGGGGGAGGAAAATCAAAGATTTCCCGTCAAAATCGTGTCCATGAGGAAGGATTTCAACATTCTTACTTTTACAACTTAACTCAAAATTTAAAAAAATAACGCTTGTCTATTACATTTCAAATGGCTGCTTGTGTAAAAATTTAATGGGGGAAACAATGAACTTCAATTCCACGTCAAGGTGTCCTTAAAAGTGGGACACTTCATCCATTAATGGAAAGTATATCACAAATACGATTAATACAATTTTGAATTCTATTAAAATGCGTCTTATTTTAAATCGGAGAGTAACGATTACGTAATATGTATGAAACAAGTATAATTAACCTTGGTCGCATCCAATGGAGCTGATATTTAGAGCAGCAAATAAAGTTTTAATAAGATTTCGATCTCACATGACTTTAAAATCACTCTGCAAGACGGAAGAGTCGAATTCGGGAAGTAAAAGACGTCTATTAGATTGCCTTGTCTTTTAAGAAAAAATAAAATGAAGAAACAAGATACCTCAAACCGATTGCGTTTGAAAAGCTAATAGGAGAGAAGCGTTGGAGTAGGATTGATGCTTTCCTTAAACTCTTTTCATAGCAAATCGCAAAGTTATATTTTTCACAGTACTAATAAAATTTTACTTTGACAGGTATAATTTAAACTAAGCTATGCAAACCTAAAAATTATATTTAATCCCACTGAAACGAATCTTACACAACCAAGAATTAATTTTGAGAAAAAAATATAACGATTTGTGATCCGCCAAACTTTTATTCAAATTAAACCATTCTTTAGTAATGCATCAACGAGTTTTGAGGCCATTTTACTAATTATCAGTTAAATAGAGCAAATAATGAAAGCAGTGAATATTGAAATGAAAATTTCGAAAACTCTTAATCACTTCGAGTAATTTAAAACTAATTTTGACAAGGAACTTAGATTGTAATAATAATAAGACTATTTTTTGCCCTGAAAATTATTTTAATTTCATTCCGATGGCAAAAGACGAGTTTCAATGGGCTTACTAATATAAAGGTAGATGAATGTAGATCTTGATTCTTTAAAAGAGATATTCACAGCAAGTAGCCATCAAATTAAATTTAATACCAAGACCTGATCCACCTTAATATCCATAAATACTTTAGTAAACGAATGCATCACAAGTATATAGGCCCAAATCCTCGCAAAATTTCTTCTTCTCAAAGCTGAAAGTTACCACTTTTGCATTTCTTTACCTGTTCCCTGTTTAATTTTGATTCTAAAATAAATATCGGTAGCTTTCAAAAATACTGAAAAAGAGAAGACAGAAAATTTGATTTGCAATCATAAAAATCGATAGCGCAGTTTAGGCAGAGTGTGAGCCTTTACCTTCCATGTTGGTATATTATCCTCATCTTCCTTAAGTGTATATAGCATTGACTAACTTAAAGCTAGAGTCTTTGTAAGACCACGAACCAATCAATTTTTGCCTAAACAAAATCCAAAATATGTCAAAGAATAAATTTACATTCCCTTTGGCACTTTATGAAGAACTATCGAAATGTTGGTAGGAAACTTTATTAAAAAGTCCGATTAAATCAATCAAAATTATTCAAGCAGATTCAATTAAAATGTATCCGCTTTTTGATCAAGACTAGTGAATTTTATGCCTCTTTTCGAATAAAAATTAATCATGTTCAAAGAGGGAATGCAAAATTTTCGGCTCAACACTCTTTGTAGGCTATTAAGAGTAGATCACAAATGCGAAAGGGAAAGCGCAAATAAAATATATTAAATAAAAAGAATTTCTCTTTTACCGGCAGGACAAAATGGCTATGAAATTTGTATGAATCCACATTCTATTTATCGGATTTCAAATTATAATAATTTCATATAAAGGGGAAATCGCGTTGATATCAAAACGTAAACTTTTGTTTATTAAAAGACAAATTTTTACTGGAAGCTCTCTGATCGCTTGGAGGATGCTTTTGAAGAAGAATGTCTAAAAACTATTCTGCCTTTGTCTCATCAACAGATCCCACTATTTCCTCAATATCATATTCAAAAGTGAAACACGAGTCGATTCTATTCAAAACCATACGAAAGTGCAAGATTGGAATTGCCCCATTCTGAAAATTTTTTATAAACAATGACACAAAGCTATTCTATCGATTTATATAAATAACGCATTAATAGTGATGAGAAAACATTTCTAAAGATTAAATGTAAAAAGACTGTTCATATTTCTATATTATACAATAGTTGCAAACAAAGTAACTTGATGTCCATATAATAAAATATTTACTTAATTCATTAGTTATGAATTAAAATAAATATTTAAAATTAATTATTAATTAGCGATAAGATAAATAATAGCTATAATGGGCATTTAAAGGAAGAAAATAAACATTTGAGTGTTTAACGTTGTTGCAGATATATCGTGACTGCAAGACCAGTCTCAAAAAAAATTATTCATCTCCGAACTATAACTAGTGGAAATGTGATTTAGTATCGAAACGAACAATTAGGCAAGAAAATAATCTTAAATGAGTCAAAATTAGAGTTAGCACAATTTTCAACCCTCCTTTGCACCACATTCAGACCTCCCTACCACGCCAAGTTCCTTCTGGACACCTTCTATGATAAAAATTTGTCATTTCTAGCCGTTTTAGCTACCGTAAATAATAGTAAATGTGCTCGTTTTCTTCATATATCCAAGTAGACAAAATTGGGGAAAGGGGGGAAGGGAAATGCGAAAAAAACCAAGAGTTAAAATTTCATAATTTTTAGCTTCTCTAAGTAAAACTAACCATTTCGATTGAATGTATGTTTTTTTCTTTATTTCAAAAAATTGCTAGTTAGCCTGGAACCTAATTTTGCCAATCAAAGAGCTCTATATCATATTCTTCATTTTGAGACAAAGTAAAATTATGTATAACTAATCGTTGTAAGTTTTAAAAAAGACATTGAAATTTAAAGCAATTATAAAAAAGCAATAAACTCTGCTCACATAAAAACTCGTATTTCCATCCAATTGTTCATTCTCGTAGGAGTTAGCTATTCGGAAAGGATCTGAAAAAAACACAATATCAAGTTAAAAAGCCATTACATCATTACATCAAAAAATGGCGCTAAAATACCTTTATCGAGTTCCAGCCAAATGTCTAGAAAGAGGAAGTTTTTAGTTGGTCCCTGAGTACCGACGATCTTTCCATTTCGCAGCTTCACCTCCGCACCCAGTGCCACCCAGGAAGGATGTCGTGACTTAAAGGAAAATACATGTAATTACTTCGTTGGAAATGAATCCTTAAATCTAGCACACTCTTATTTTATTAGTCAAAGTTAAACCGGACTGACAAAGGCTAGAACATTTTGAAGCAAAAAGATTCCTACATCCCACTTCGTGAAACACTTTTTTTAGAATAAATCTTGCTCGAAAATCTTCAAACCAACCCTCATTTCCATTCAATTTAAGCATCTCAAACTTAAAAGAAATATTTACTTTTTGGGAGGAAATATATAAGTTATTTCTAACTCCTCCTTCAATAACTTTTATCTCACTCTTAGTTAAAACGATAATTGACTATTAAGTTATTTCCATACAATAAGAAAGTTATGATATATAGATTTTCCAAATGAATTATTTAAAGATGCTTGGTTTATCATACCAACAATTCTATCACATAAAAATCAAATTTATAAAATCGATCATTTAAGTATTTAATAAATAGTAAAATATTCAATAACGCGTACAATGGAAGTACTCTGTCGAACTTTTTTAATAGGAACATAGTAGGCTCCAATAGTTCGACGACGCAGAAATCCTTTTAACTGGACTTCCAATAGGATGCCACCTTTCAAGCTGTCAAGCTCGCTAAAAGAAAATTGCAAGTTTAACCGTTTAAGGATTTGAATTTTAAAAAGAACTTGGCAAAGGTTGATCAAAAGCATTGACGGAAAGCACAATCAATTTCTTACTAGGAAAATTCCTCATTCCAGATTGGATTGCTTCCCCTCAGAGTCCTAGTGAACGATTTGGCTCCATTAATGTCGAGCGCGACGATAACCGAGACTGGACTATTAAAACCTTGGAGTCTGGCTTCTTTGACTAAAATAATGCGATGGTAAAACTAATAGACACACTATTTATATATTAGAAATAGTAAATTGCTATCATGTTCTGATAACATAAAATAAATCATGAATTCAGTGTTTTTCTCTTGTGTTTGAAAGTGTTATAAAATATATAAATATAATGATAATATAAAGCTCATTATTCACGCAATCGCCTTGCAAAGTCATATAAAGTTTACGATTAGAACCATGAAATGAGTTTCACCTTCAATACACAAAATTGGCATCTTTGTAAGAAAAATGCAACATTTTCCTTAGAGTTATATTCTGCAGATCAAAATCAGCTCGATAAAGGGCGTTACTAAACAATTATTTTGATACGAACAAACAAAATTTAAGGTTGTCTGACTTAGGGTATAAATATAAGTAAAAAATATTATTTTCATTAACTTATAGCATATATTTTATAAATTATTTTGAATAACTTTTATAAATTTAATTTTAAATTTTATTATATAACGTGTTGCTTTTCCACATATCTATTTTTCATTTTTAATATAAGTTAACTTCTTCTAATAGATTTTGTAATTGGGTTAATTCTAATACTTCTTTTTGCTTTAACTAGTCTGTAAACTTGTTTTTCTAACATAAGTAAATATATTATTATTATTTTATTACCCGGTTCTATTTAACTTAACGTTATTTATCTGATGTTTCCAATGAGTATTCTAAAAAAGAAGTAGATAATCGTTGATTTTTTTATATTAAAATTAGTTATATATTAATATAAGCAAAAATTATATTTGCAGTATAAGTTGATCAATACAGTTAAAATTCATAAGTAATCTTACTTACACTTTCAATTATATTTCTTGAAATGTAAAGGTGCCTTATTTCATTTAAGTGTCATACGAATTTATTATTTGTCTTAATACAAGGTATTTTATTCATATATGCTTCTTTTATTCCCATTAATAACAGTAGCTTTCTTTATGGTTGATTTCAATGAAAGTGGTTTAGTTCTTTCCTTTGTATTGGTGTCACATTATTTGAGCGTCTTCAGCATCAATAATGAAAATTCTTTTATCTTTGATTCGTTTGACAGGATCTAAATCCAGCTTGTTCTTAAAAACAATATCAGACACGATTAAAGTATTGTATAACAAGTCCTGAAAAAGCTCATCAATAATATTTATTTTATTTCTAGCGTGATCACATTTCCCAATGTTTTATGTACTAATAGTAGTTTGTGTCAATGGAAATCTACTCGCTCAACTTTGCTAATGCTTCCCATTGAATAATCTTATTCATTCAAATATATTTGTTGCAGTCAAATCAAATGTGCAAACTCTTATGCTAATCTTATGAACTAGGGTGCGTTAATTAAAATGGTCTACCTTCGAATCTCTCCAATACAATTACTCAGAAAGAGCTTGATTTTTAAAGTAATGCCATTTTCTTACTCTTTTTGCCTACCTTGCCTCGTAGTTTGTTGTCATGCATCTCAGAAGACTTACCATTGCAAGTATAACAGTTTAGATGTTACTTAAAACAGATCCAAACGACTAACTCGATGTTATTCACTTTCTGAGCAAAGTAGGCATGTTATGCAATACGTTTGCTTGAAGACTGAAATATCAATACATATGTGTTTTAAATAACCCAGTGTAAAATCGTTTAGCATAATGGAAACTTCGGTGATATAGTACACACTACCACACATCCAACCACCATTTACTCCCCAGGGTAATACATTTCCATTTGAGATCAACCACAACCACCAGCTCAAAATAATTTATATGTGATCAAAATACGAGCCAATTGGTGAACTGTAGAATAAGCCCAAACTTAGACCTCAGTTAACCCAATCTGCGTACCTTCCACGGCACAACCTGCAGCCCTTAGTCAATCCACCTCTCTTAACCCCGTGTACCAGTTCTAAGGCCTAAGGAGTATCACCCAATCACCTTAACATTGATGAAACTTTCTGTCACGTCTCCTTTTTTCTTCCACCTTAAGATGACTTCGGGCTTCAATGATTGGTGGAAATTCAAAGTGGGATAAATTTTAGAGGGGGAATAGAAGAATGATTCGTGGAGCAAAAGAGGCAGACAGACACAAAGTCAGAGAAAAGATAAGATGAGAACTATAGAAGGGTCAAATCTACTATTCAGTGGGGTCATGTTAGTTTGAAGTCAGAAGACAACTGCCGGTTTATAGAATTTTTTGCCGTATGAGTATACGTTGCCCTTAGTGCTCCACGTGGAGGTAAATATTATGCAAATATAGATTAAATGGAATACATTTTTTACATAATTGAAACTTCTTATTGAATATGGAAAGATATGACATGGGTTTCAGCGAATAGAACTTAATCTAGACTATTTTTAAGCACATTTTCACTTCTGACGAAACAGAAATCTCTCTTATTTACATTCAAATTTACTCCCTTGACTGCACTTTATTTCCTTTTGAGATAGATTACTGCGCGTTATTAAACCAAGTGAGCGAATGATACTCAGTTAATTCAAGCATTCCGACGGAACTATTAAAGCCATCCTAACGGACTTAAACACAAAATTTGAGTGAACTAGCCTCTAGTATGTAATACATAACCAGATTTAAATACACAAATCTTTCAGCGATTTTCCAAAACCTCGAATAATGTCTAATAAAGATGCAATTGGCGTATCTATTTGAAGTGATTGCTGTAAAGATAAAAGGTGCAAATGATATCACCCAATAACACACTTTAATGAATTCCAATGCATTTCAAATGGCAGGCTTTGTGATATTTATCATTAGCCCTTAAACTTTGACTTCAGGTTCCCCGATGGGTGGGGGGTACATTTATAGCAGTTAATTGATAGCAATTCATTAGCTGTCTTCTTGCTTCCCAGTATCTCTGGCTTTCCGTCTTTGCCTTTAGGGCTGGACATCGAATCAGGTGGGTCTTCTCCATTTCCTCCTGTAGGTTACATAGAGGGCATGTGGGTTGAGTGTATACTCCCAATCTGTGAAGGTGTTTTGCCAAGCAATCGTGTCCGGTACGTAGTCTAAACTCACCAACGGCTTCGATTCTTGGCCTTCCCTCTTCTGATTAAGGCCTTCATTGTGTGGAAAGACATCGGCCGGTACATGCATTGCAAAATCGTTGTCCCCTTCTTAGCAAGTGTGTCAGGTAGCTCATTGCCTTCCATGCCACAGTGACCAGGAATCCATTGTAGGATCAGTGTTTTGTTTTCCTCTCTCAGCAGCTCATAGAGTTTTCTACATTCCTTTATCTCAGCTGTTTTGGGTGGCTCTCTGTTTCCAATAGAGTTTATTGCTGACTGTGAGTCCTAAAGTATCACCGCTTTGGTGAATTTCGTATCCAGGCAACATAATTGGCATAGTGCTATCCTGATGATCTCTATTTCTCCTTCAAAAGCGGATCTATTGTGTCCCGCTGCTGCGTATAAAGAGAAGAGTTCAGAATAGACACCTGCACCAACGTTTGCTTGGTTTTCTGTGTATGACCCATCAGTGAAGACTTGGAGCCATTGATCTGCAGGATAGTTGACATTGATTGTCTCAAGGGCCAGTGAGCGCATTTGCTCGGGAGGAGTGTTTGATTTCCTGAAGAGGTCGAGCAGTTGGGTGCAACACACTACATCAGTGTCTGCTTATGGGTCATGGGGGGAGAGAGGCTTTTTGATTTGTCATCAATTTGTAATTCTTTCTTCGAATCTATGGCTTTCTGTATTAGACCAGATTGCGTTTTCAGA